AAGAACACACAAAGAATATTGAGTGCTTCTCAGTGAACCGAGTGTGTACCAATCTTTTCATTTACTTCTAGTTCTTTCCGCAACACCTAACAACACTTACTTTCTACCATATCTGAATGCAAAAACTAGTGTTTTAGTCTTCACATTAACAATGCTCCTCTATCTTACTGTGAAGAAATCTTTTGGTAAGGGAAAGACATATTCTGTTCAAATTCATCTCCATTGATACCTTTTTAGTGTTCTCAGTCTTTCCAGCACCAGATTCGCCAGTGATAAGCATGGATTGATTCTCATGATTTTGTAGCATATTACGATACGCTTCATCAGATACTGCGAACAGATGAGGCGGCATCTCAGTTCGTCGTTTACCCATATACATATGCGCAACGGAATCCGTATAGATCGGTAGGCGTTTATACGGATTAATGACAACACAAAATAAACCCGAGTATGTCTGCAATTGAAACTCAACATCATTCGTCAGGTTTTTCACTAATTTTGGTCGGCGAGATATAATAAATCATTTCTCAGTGTTGTTCTGCACTGTCAATAATGCGCACTGAATGTGTTCATAATCTGACAATGAAGATGGCTATTTTCGGTGTTTTCAAATATAATGATGCCACTTGACATCATCGGATGTGTACGATCACAATTCAGTGAAATAACTCTTGCCGTACTCTTGTTCAAACAATGAAAAATTCAAAGAGAGCAATAAATCAAGCAATGAATTACGCACATAGATGAGCATAGCTGCATAACGCGCTCGAAGGTTGTGCAGAACGGATGCGTCATTGAGAAACGTTAGATTGGACATATCTTCGGTCTTTTCGAATTTCGGTGGGTTCATTTGGGTACAAAAATCCTTTTTCAGTGTCTTCTGAAAGCATTTTACTCGCGAACAGTTTAATATAGACGTTTGGATTTTTCAACATAAAACTGCATCTTTCGTTCCAATACACTTTCGGTTTCATCGCTCAATAGAACGCGAGTGACATTTGAATTACCTTCACTTGCACATTACAGTAAATGAGCTGATCGAAAATTCATGAATTGGGCTAAAGGTGCATTTAATCTCTGCTTTTTGAAGCTCTCAATAACCTTCCGAAAACCACTTGACGTATTATTCTGAATTCATGCCTTCAAAAGTAACTCATCAAGACCAATTTTTTTTTTGGGGGGGGGGGGGGGGGGGATTTCCTTAGAAATTCCGCTCAGGAGGAGAACATTCGAGGAAACGTGATATCTCGTGGAACGAGTCAGAGATTCAGCCCTTCATAATTGCCTATCATGTCAGTAAAAAAGTGTGAATGGTCAGCGACGTGAAATATAAACGATCAGCCAAAGGTAACATGGAATTTGCCAATAGGCTACGTACCTCATTGCCATCACCCGTTTGTACGACCACTTGATCTCCCTTTGTCGAAACAATCTGTGCAGCAATATATCCTTCTGCTTTATCCGGAATCCACACATCTTTTTTCGAATCGTATGGAGCTGCCTGATCCTGCAATAAATGAAGTATCTGGTATATCCTTATGCACTTCTCAAAGGGTCTTTGTAACCCACTTTGCTTTAGAGCTGTCGTCAAAATTCTCTTTGCGATCGCTCTCAAAAGTTTGGGGCAGCCCTTCAGAACAGCTCTGGCCCACTAGGCGAGTCCAAATTGAGCAGTGCCGTACAGGAGGTTACAGTACCAAAATGTAGTTTGACTAATCTCCCCTCAACATACACAAGTTTAATTGAAGGAATAGAACTATCAGCAAATGCAAAACACGTATTGTTTAACTAAAATTTAGAAAATGTTTTGAATGCTATTCATTATATTATAATTACCCTAATTATTACCGATCATTCGAATACATACAAGTCAAAACCGCATCGCTAGTTATTTTATTCGGTTCACACCTGCAGTTTGACAAATTTTCGATCAAAACATAACTTACCTTAGCTATTTGTTCCCGACTCAGTCTGAGGAACTGCCATCCTGGATCGCTTTCGCAATCAAGTGCCATATTCACCGATATTCAGTGAAGGTCTGATGACTTGCTATCAAATGTATAATAGTTGAGGTTCGTTGAGAGAGACGTTCAGATGCAACAATGATGCTGTGAGCGAAAACGTTGAATATAAAGAGATTGAATTGGATGGGATTGATTTTGATTTTAT